AATTCTGAGAGGAATGAAATACATCAGTGCGGTGATATGCAAGATCATGAATAATGATAGTCATCTGTCTTCGAAAGAGATAGATCTAAATGAGACTGATCTGAACAAAGGGTTATTCTTGAGATAAATATCTCTGATCCTTTGATTCATGATCTTACTATTAATGATGATTTGAATCCTGTGTCCAATTCCTTAAGCTATGATAAAGATACTCTAGTTTTAACAAGGAAAGAATTAGAAGAAGATTGGTTAGTCCAAAGATCGTCAAGGAAAAGGATATTAAAGGGAGCTAGAGAACTTGGTTATATTAATCAAGAAGCTCTCAATTTCTTGAAGTCAGGTAAAGATGAAGATGCTAATTATTCTTCATCAAGAGGCATTAGAGGTAAATCTAATCATGATGATGGTTAATACTCTAATATGAAATATCAGAGGCATAACTAAGTCTAATGTCTTCTATAGATTAAAGAGATTGATTCGTATTTATAAGCTTCATTTCTTTGGCATTTTGGAGCCTTTGGTTGCGGTCAAGAATAATGAGAAGTTCATGAGACATTTTGGTTCTTTTCTTTCTTTAGCCAATATTAACAGTAAGATCTGGTTTTTTTGGAGGGACATCTTTAAGATTGATATTCTTATCAATCATGAATAGTTATTACATTTACGTATTCATCAGGATAATGATTCTTTCCTTTTCTCTATTATTTATGCGGGTTATTCTAAACATGCCCGTTTATAACTATGGAAGCTGTTAATTGATATTAATCCTATTTCTGAACCGTGGCTTTTAGGAGGGGATTTTAATCTGATTCCTTCTATTCAGAAGAATAAAGGAGGAATTACTCCTAATCTTAATCTCATTTCCTTCTTTAACAATGTTATTATGGATGCTGGTTTGTTTGATTTGGGATTCAAATGTATTCCTTATACCTGACATAAAGGAAGTACTTTTAAATGTTTAGACAGATTTCTTGCTAATGTAGCTTGGGCTGACAAGTTTATCTGCTATGAGGTGTCATTTAGCTATTTCGACCTCTGGCCAAGCTCCTATTATTCTGAAGATTAGAAAGTCTAATTATAAGATTTCTTATCATTTTTGTTTTTATAATATGTGGCTGCTCCATAACAGTTTTATAGATGTTCTTAAAGATTACTGGAAGACCTCTGTTGTGGGTACTTTTGGGTATAAATTGTGGATGTTGCAAAAGCATTTAGCCAAAAAACTAAGGAGATGGAACTAGGAGGTATTTTGGAATATACATCATGTTATTGAGAATCTTGAAAACAAAGTTAAATCTATGGAATTAGATTTTGTCTACCAGTAAATTGATTGGGAAGTCTTATTTCAAGGACAACAAAAGTTGAATAAAGCTATTTCGATTGAAGAATGTTTCCTTGCTAAAAAAGCCAATAAGACTCTTTTTTTTTGCATATTTTCATGCTTGTATTAAAAATAAGAGAAGGAGCAATTATATTAGAATGATTAATAACAGGAATTTAATATCTTAAATAAACAACTTGATATTTCCAATGATGACATTGTCTATTTTTTTAACATTTTTTCTTCTGATGGAAGCTCCTTAAAAGCTATAAATTCTACCTTATAGAGCCCTATGTCTGAAGGTTTTGGGCAAAATCTCTCTAGTATTCCTAACATCTTGGAAATTAAGAATATTTTGGTTTCTATGGAAGATGGGAAAGCAGTGGGACCTGATGGTTTCACTGCTGAATTTTATAAGAAAGGTTGAGAGGTTATTCATCTTGAATTTGTTAAAAGCTGTAGTGTAGTTTGTTGGGGGGGGGGGGGGGGGGTTGGATTTGCCTCAGTATTTTAAGTCTTCTAATATTTTTCTTATCCCCAAGGATAATGATGTTTCTTCTTGGGATAAGTTTAAACCTTTCAGTATTAACACTATAGTGTCTAAGATTATTTCAAAAATTATTGTTAACAGATTACATCCTTTTCTTCAGAATATCATTTTTAATAACCAATCTGCTTTTGTGAAGCTGCTTTTGTTAAGGGGAGGAATATTTGTGATAATGCTTTGACTGTTCAAGAACTTCTTATGGATTTTGATATGAAGAGTAGAGGGGGCAATGTTATATTCAAGCTTGACATTAAGAAAGCTTTTGATACCATTCAGTGGGAATTCATTATGGATGTGCTAAAAGCTATTGGTTTTCCTAATCATTTATGCAAACTGATTCAAAGAATTCTGAATAATAATTACTATTCTCTTCTTATTAATGGTCAGAAGTATGGTTTCTTTAAAGCCACCAAAGGATTCAAACAAGGAGATCCTCTTTCCCCTTATTTGTTTATTATTACTTTTGATTATATATCTAGATGACTTCATCATGGTTACACTGCTTATCCTACTTTAAACTACGTTCACAAAGGAAACATTAGTATTTCTCATCTTTGTTTTGCTGATAACTTTTTGTTTTTACCAATGCTCATAAATGTTCTATCAAAAGAGTTTGGGAGATTCTTCAGCACTTTCAGGATGTTTCTGGGCTTAGCTTAGACACTTCTAAATGCTCCCTTTATTGTTCTAAGAAGGTTTCTTCTAACATTAAGAATTGGATTTCTGATTTTACGGATTGCAAAAAAGCTTCTCTGTCTATCTCTTATTTGGGCTTCGAACTTAATAAGGGACATAAAAGGATAGCTTCCTGTTTGCATATGGTGGATAAAGTTAAGCATAAATTATAATCTTGGGAGAATAAATTCCTATCTTATGGTGGTAGAATTACTATTCTTAAGAGTATTCTTTGCTCCTTGCCTCTTTATTCCTTACAAGTCATGAATATCTCTAAGGAGGTTATTAAGAAACTTGCAATGTTGTTTAATAAATTCCTTTGGGATGGTTTGGATAAGTAGAATATACATTGGAGGAGTTGGTATAAGTTGTGTAAGCCTTATGATAAGGGTAGTCTGGGTTTTAGGAGTATTCAGGACTCTATTACTATTGATTACATGAGGTTGTGGTATCATTTTCAGTTGAACAATTCCTTGTGGGCTAATTTGATGCAGGCTAAGTATTGTAAGGAAAAAAACATCCTTTAGCTATTTCTTCCTCGAGAAAAAATTCTTTCATATGGAAATAAATGTATAAAGTCTCTAAGCTGACAGAAACTTTTTTTGTTGGGATTTCGGGGTTGGGCAATGTTTCTTTTAGTATGATAATTGGCTGGGCTTGGTGCTTTGGCTGATCATTTTGGTGGGCCTTTTGATATTCATATTAATGTTAATCAATTTTGGGTTAATGATAGCTGGAGGCTGGAGGAACTATTGAATTATGTCAATTTTCAGGATGCTAAATTTATTGCTTCGATTTCTATTTCTAGGAATATAAAGGATAGTTTGATTATTAAAAAGAGAGTGGATGACTCTCTTTCGAAGTGCTTTGCTCAATCTATTTCTGCTTCTCACAATATGCAGCTGGATTGGATTTGAAATTCTTGGTTAAAACCATCTATGTATTTCATTACTTGACATGTTTTAAATAATCTGATTCCTTCTGATGATATTCTTAAGATGAAATGGTTAAGAATATCATCTCGTTGTATCCTTTGTAAGGCTAAAGAAGAGTATATTATTCATCTTTTTGGTGAATGCAGTTTCATTACGGGAATCTGGGAATTATTATGTAAAAAGCTTCTTAAGTTTGATATGGATCACACTTTCCAATCCTTTACCGATTTGTTTTATCGATGGAAGCAGTTGGGCAATGAATTTTACAACACTATATTTTGTGTTGTCATGTGGTTTGTATAGCTTGCTAGAAATAATGCTATTTTTAATGATGTGATTCCTGATGCTTACCATACCATGACACTCATTTTTTGTTATTTGTACAAGGGTCTCACTTCTCTAAAGTTTAAAGGTAAAGACTGGGCTTTGCTTAAGGATAATTATCAACAGTTGGTATTGCATAATATGATTGTTAGAAATTCTGTTAAGACTACTTGGTGTAAGCCACATGCTCCTTATTTTAAAATTAATACTGATGGCTGTTAGAAATCTAATGCGGCGAGTATGGGAGGGGTTTGTCGTGATTTTGCTGGTTCAATAGTTTGTTGGTTCTATGCTTTAATCGTTCCTATTTCATCATTTACTATAGAAGCTGATGCAGTAGTCTTTGGCTTAATGGTTGCAAAAAAGTTAGGAATTCATAATCTTATTATAGAAATGGATTCTCTGACTCTTTGGAAGTGTTGCAAGTGGAATAAAGAGGTGCATTTGAATATTATGTTGAAAATGAAGAGAATTCAAGCTTTAACTGAAAATATGAATGTTATATGGAGGCATGTTAGTAGAGAAGACAATTCAGTAGCTCACTGGGCTGCAAAGGCTGGGCTTAATCTGTCTAAAGCTGTTGTTCTTTTTTACTTTTCCTGATGATTTGTTGGCTTTAGCCATTAAGGATCTTTCTTGATTTATTTTCTGGGTTTGGGTGTGTTGTATTTTCTGTTTTTTTTTTGGATTTATGGACCCTTTTTATTTCTTTTGTGTGAGTTGTATAGGACTTATGTTGGGTTCCTTATCCCTCTTTCTTATACTGTCTTTTCTTGAGGTAATAAAATTGCTAGGGGAAGACCCCCACTTTGCTAAAAAAAAAATTGTAGATGTAAATGTAAAAAAAGCAAAGTTTGGGTGTGATATGTAAATACTTAGGAATTGGGTGTATGTATGTAAATGGCTTAAGAAATATTAATAAAATTAATTTAGGTTGATTAAGAGCAAAATCAGCTCATTTAAACTATATATGTTAACAATTTTATTATTAATTATTTTGATTCATATAAAAACCCTTAATATTATATTATTTCAAAATATCTTTTTAGTACGGTAAAACAAATATCCGTCTAATTTGAATTTCAAAGTAATACTTCTCATAATATTTATTTTATGGGTGTTTTTACCTAAATAACACTCAAAGCTTTACTATTTACTAACCTACCACTCTAAACCTAATTTCCCTAGTACCTCCGTCTCTCTTCCGGCTTCCGGTAAAGAAACCCTCGACGAGATACAGGAGCCAAGGAACTCGCGACGGGAGTTTGTTCTGGGAAGGAATAGACGGGAGCAAGGGCTCGGGAATGAAAAGAGGAGTTCGTGAGAGAATCTGTGATGGAGAATAACATCAGTAAAAAATAAGTTTGCAGTTGCGCAGACCTATTCTTATCCTTTTCTGCCAGATCAGAAATAGGATTGGAAAGCTGTTTGATAGGTGCGTTGGTTTACCTTCCCTCGATCCTTTAAATCTGCCGAATTCTTGGATTTTCCGTTCTGCTGGGGAAAACAGGATTTTTGTTTCTGTGAGTAAGGTTGCCATTTTTTACATTTTTACTGTTTGGCAATATTGAAGTTAAATTCTGCTTAAATTTTGCCTTAAAACTTCCACTTACCAGATCCCTAGTTGGATGTTGTTAGAGACCAGCATAAACTGTAATTTCTCTATCCTTCTTTGCTTTTTTTTAAACTATGGTTTATGTAAAGGTTTCAAAAAATTAAAATTACAGATAAAGTTATCTGTTACCCTTCCGTCAAAATGACCGCAGCGTAATCTAGCATCATAAAAACCAAACCCTCTTTGCTCCAGCTTTTGACAAAAAGAATGGCGGAGATAGCCGACGTTCCTCCGGTTGACAATGAGCTCCTGAATATCAGTTGTGCTCGGCTGGAACTGCCTCACTGTCAGCATCGAAGTTAGACTAAGGGTATAGTTTGAAGTGAGTATGAGCACCACAAACACCCAGATTGTTATGCAGCTTCGTTACATTGCTCATTATTGTCTCCTCTGTGAATAATTGCACGAGGAACCGAATGATGATGCCGGTTAAGATGGAGAAGAGGGCGCTGACGAGGGCGCTGAGTGATTTGAGGAAGATCCTTGCTTCGATAGACTGACCATTTTGACGGAAGCGTAACGGATGACCTTTATCTGTAATTTTAATTTTTTGAGACCTTTATCTGTAATTTTAATTTTTTGAGACCTTTATATGTAATAAGTATTATTTGAAGACCTCCATACGTAAAAGCCCCTTTTTAATTTCTTCCCCTGGATATGATGCTAGAAGTAAACATGTTCTTCGGCAAATGTTTTTTTAGTTGCTTAGTTGAGCCGTTTTAAAGATAATGGAGATGGATGTGGGGATGAAGCAATTGCAGCAGACCCTTATTGAGAGTGAAACTATTGCCGAGCATCTCCTTCTTGCACGAAACCAGGTTGGATACAAAGTTCTTGTGCAATGATATGAAATAATGGATACTATGAGATTATTTATTTACAATCTGAACTTCTATTGGTTTCAAATAGCTTGTTGAAAATGACAAGCTAAGAAATGGAAATCGAGAAGCCTTAACTGCACTCCGCAAAGTTGCTCGCACAACAAAATCTAGTGTCCCATCTCCTTTCAAGAAAATTATGGAAGATCTAGTGGGAGCAGATTCAAGACCTTTAGTGAAGGAAATTTGTCCAACATGTGGAGATCATGATCCCAAGGAACATACTTGGATGATGTTACCAGGTGCTGATATTTTTGCTCGTATGCCTTTTCATGCCGTTCACACAATTTTAGAAAAAGGTACTTTCTTAGCGATAACAAGTTCGCAATATTTTTGTTTGATTTCTTATCAAGTTGTTTATTCTTTGTTACTGAAACTTCTCTCATCTGAGAACATTCCAATTAACTCTGATCTTCAAATTTATCATATGAGGTTATTTATGACCATTGTTTTCCTAATGGATGAATATCTATACTTTCATTAAGGAGCTGTTTGGTTACAAGTAAAACTTTACTCAAGTAGGATTTAATAAATCCTTTTACTTCAGATTTAGTAAATCTTGAGTTGTTTAAGTCCTAAAATCTGTTTGGTATGATAGATGTTAAATCCAGTTAAATTTTGTATAATTGTTTGACAACTTATTTCAGAATTTAACTCTTTTAGTTGAAATCTGAATTTAATATTGCATATTAATACTACAATAACAACAAGCCTTTATCCCACTAAGTTTGGCTACATGAATTATTTTTCTCCATTGCATCCTATTGAGTGTCATATTTTGTCATATCCATTGCATCCTATTGAGTGTCATATTTTTATTTAATTTTAATAAATTAAGAATGCCCAAGTCTTTCTAGGCCCAAGTCTTTCTAGGTCTACATTTGCCTTTCTTAACATAAGTCGAATCTAAAACATGTACTCTCCTAACTGGAACATCAGATGATCGACGTTTCATGTGACCAAACCATTAAAAACGACTCTCTCTAATTTTGTTTGCTACTGGGGCTACACCAACCCTATCATAGATATATTCATTACACATTTTGTCTCTAAGTGTAAAGCCACTCATCCACCGAAGCATTCCCATCTCGGCAACACTTAACTTAGTTGTATGCTTCTCTTTTAAAGGTAAACATTTTGCGCCATAGAGTATTGCAGGCTTCACTACAATCTTATAAACTTTTCCTTTCAGTCTAAGCGGTCCTTTTTTATCATGCAAAGATTCCTCCATTTTAACCAACCAACTTGAATTCTATTAATAAAATCCTCATCTATATCACCATCACTTTGAACATAGACCCAAAATATCTAAAGAATCACACCTTTTAATCATTCAATCGCCCATAGTTACAACTTTTTCACTAGGGCTACTATTACTAAAGTTACATTCCATGTATTCAGTTTTAGTTCTACTCTAACAATGGCCTTTAGACTCTACTGTTGACATCCATAATTCAAGTTTTTTCTGACCTCTTTCTTTAATGTTATCCACAATGAGGATTTCATCAGCAAAAGCATGCACCAAGATATATCTTCCTGTAAATGTCCAGTAACTAAAGCAAAAAGATACGGGCTTAAAGTCGATCCCTGATATAATCCAACTAAAATAGGGAAATATTTGGTCAATCCTTCTTCTATTCGAACACAAGTAACAACTATAGTATACATATCTTTAATGACTTGAATATAAGTCATATCAACACAATTTTTCTCTAGAACTCTCCAAAGAATATCTATTGGAATCTTATCATTAGCTTTTTCTAAGTCAATAAAATTCATATGCAAATCCTCCTTATTCTTTCTTTTATCAAACCTCTAAATAAATGTATATCTTCCATAGTAGACCTGTCTAACATTAATCCAAATTAATTATGAAATTTTTTTGTACTACGTCTTAACCTATATTCAATTACCATCTCCCTTAATTTTAAAGTATGACAGATAAACTTAATTCTTCTATAATTTGCACACTCTTGTGCATACCCTTTATTCTTAAAAATGAGGACCAAAATACGCTTCCTTCACTTCTCAGACTTTTTTTTAGTTTTTAAAATAATATTAAAGAATTTAGTAAATATTTCCACACTGGAATTGGGTTATCATCAGGTCTTATAGACTCTCCACCCTTGATTTTATTTAAATCCTCCTCAACTTCTTTTTTACTAATTCAATGATAAAATGAAACATATTATTATTATTAACGATATTATGACCACTAAGATCAATCGTATTTTCAGAAACTTGATTGAAAGGTTTATTAAAGTAACTCACCCACCTATGTTGAATATTTTTTATAAGTAAAGTATTTTTTGATTTTCATCTTTAATACACTTTACTTGAGTTAAATTTTTTCTTTTCTTTTCTCTTTTTTTGGCTAATTCATACATATATTTTTCGTCCTCTTTAGTATCTAATTTATTATAAAGATCACTAAAAGTAGAATTTTTAGTGTCACAGATTGCTCTCCTGGACTCCTTACGACACACTTTATATTTTTTTCAGATCTCTAAGCTTTTATATTTAAATAATTTTTATAAAACAACTTCTTATATTTTATTTTTTCTTGCGCATATTATCCCATTATCAACTATTTTTATTTATAGAACATTTTCTTTTGATTCTCCAAGTACATCTTTTGTTACTTGTTTAACAGTGTTTGTTATTTTATCCCACATCTGAACATCCCAAATCTTAAAATCTTGAAGTTTACTCGTAAAAAAATAATTTTATTTGTGTCTTTCAGGTGTTCCAATTTAATTATATGATTCATATTATTCTTTATTTTATAACTCGTCATCTTAAATCCAGAACTAATAACCGATGTCGAGAACTTAAATTCGTACTTGGAATGACCTTACTATCTTTACATTCTTGATGATTTTTTCTTCTTATAAGAAGATAATTAATGTGCTTTATTAAATTCATTCTTTTAAGTTATGATATACTCATTTTTTTTCTTGAATAAAGTATTAGCAATCGCAAAAATCATACATTAAAGTAAAATCTAATATGACTCTATCTTCTTTATTAATTACTCCGAAACCGTAGCCACCATGAATATTTCTAAAATCTTCTATCATTTACCGAGTGTTCATTTAAATGTTCTTTAATAAGAATTTTTTCTTTAAAGATATCATTTGTATTAATTCTTCTAGGTCATTGCTATAATTTTTCTTTAGAATCTATATCTAAATCTACTTGAAGAGCACATGTACTTATAATATTAAAAATCTTATTATCAACAATAATAAAAATCTTATTATCAACAATAATCTCAATCTCCAATTCTATTAATTTTTACAACATTATTTTTCAAACTGCTATCAATATTTTACACATATACCATTTCTAGCCCCTTACCTGAATATTAAAGTTTAAGACCTAAACTATCAAACTCCTTAGCCTTTTCTCCAAACCATTTAGTTGCTTCAATACATAAGATTGTTATTTTTCTATAAACTATAATATCAACTAATTTCATTAATTTATCTGTGAGAATACTTATATTTCAAGATCTTATCATAATATTAGTTTCATTGGCTAACTTATTTACCCGCATCCGTTCTTATTGTGGGAACATTTGCTTATTTGACACTACATCCGGATGTTGGTGTAACAACCCTTGCACACTTTTTATTGTATTTAGGTCATACAGTGCGTTGCTTCCGGTGAATGCCTTAACAATTACATAAGGATCAAAAGGATTAATGTCATGATTTTTTAATAAATTTTAAGTTGACTGTCGACTACCTATCGCAACTCTTCACATTTCATATCTTGGGCTTGGGACCCGGAAATTCCAGTGTTAATATTGCATATTAATGATGCAATTTTTAATTTTAATTTATTTTAAGTGAATTTTTTATTTATAATTATATTAATCAATAACAATTTTTTAAACTAATCAATCATTGATTAGAATTTATTAAACTACTTATTTATTAAGCAATAATTTAACACTCATTAATTAATAATCAATTTTTAAGTTATTAAACTAATTAATAATTAACTAGAATTTCATTAAAATAATTAAATTTTAATATTCAACTTATTTTAATTAATTAATTTTTAAATAGTTACATATCAGTTTTATGATTATAATTAAATTAATAACATATTAATTAGTTAGTTATTAATCAATTAAATTAGTGAAAATTAACTTAAATAAATTTAAATTAAAGCCACAAACCTAATTTTCTCTTCTCCTCTTCCGCTGAAACCCTGGCCTACCTCCCTCCCCCTGCCCCAATTTTGCCAAAAAAAACATCGCATTCGTTACTGGAACCCTCGCGATACACTCATAACTAGAGCTAGCTGGGATGTCAGCGATAAATCTTGACATAAAAAGACCTCCAAAACTTATTTTTCTTCCTGCTCCACTCCTACCCGAATCATTGAGAAAGGTAAACCCCCATCTTTATACCCACTCTCACCCTCCTCTTTGTGCTTTAGGTCCTCTAAATCCCTTAAATTCATCTTCGAGTGAAATTTACTAAATCCTGAATTCAAGGCAAAATGGGTTTTATGAACATGTTGGATTTAAGGATGTCTTTTTTGTTGTTTGACAGGATTTGGTTGAATCCTATTCAAATCCTTCTACCAAACAACCCCTAAATTTTGTTTACAAAAGTAACCAAAAAGTAATAATTTATTTTAGGGCAGTGCATCCATTCACTTGATTCGAGCATTATATTATTTGCAGCAAGATGTTGAACCAAATGATAAGCGTTAAGATTATCTTATTTACAAATTATGTTTGCTCTTCTTCTGAGTCAACTGAGCTTACACAACTTTGTCATATGCTGCTTTGCAACTTGCCACTACCACTATAGAAAACAAGCATTTGCAAATTTTGGTACTAATACATATTTGCAATAGTAAGTGTCATCACGGATCTTATCACAAATCAGTGTCACAAGTTTGATCATCACAAAATATATTTGCGATGATTTTATTGTCACAAATTATGGTCGCAGTGATCTCCAGTGGGTTGTAATTTAACACAAGGATATAGCAAGTAATTTAAATTTCACTAATTTCTTATACAACCCTAATTGTATAGGAAAGTTATAAGTAGCATTTATAATAAATATTTCCATCAACAAAATTAACAAAAATAAATTTAGATAAAAGTTTCAAAAACTCTCACTGGTCATCATCATCATCATCATTATCGTTGCCATCAACAACATCATCTTGAGTATAGAGGAATTATTCAAATGGTTCTGAAAAACTTTAGATATAACCAATTACAATTCTAATTAACACTTGCCTTTTTTTCATTGAGGACGATAAATAATCGTGAAAATATGAGTGTCAAAGAATTCTAAAAGTTTTTTTTTTTCAATTAATGAAGTTTATTCAATTTAAAAGAAGAATTAGTATCTATAAATATAATTAGACAATAGAACTTGTACTAGAACACTTGGTCACTGCCTTTTGCTGAATAACCGGTTGCCCTTGATAGTCGCTCTTAAATTTTTTGTAAAGTAGATTGATGATGTATTCTGTCCTCAGGGTGGCCTCCAAAGCCATACAGGCGGCTATTGACCAATTCCTTTGTTGCTTCTATGCATGCATCAAGGTCAAACTCAGGCTAAATTGTTCCCTCCACACTATATTTTGCCATTATAGCTGTTTCATATCTTTCTTACATAAATTTGAATATATGCGGCATGTATCATTGTTTCTTCTTCAGGAAAATTAGCAGTTAAATTGTAATCCATTAATTATCACAACGATATAGGAACTAGCTATTTAGCCATATGTTCCATTCTTCTTATGGGTTATTTGGAAAAGCTCAGTTTTATTTGGAGCTTTTCTCAGTTCTTTTTGCTATAGTGCCATACGCATAATAGGCATTATAATATTATATTTAGATTTGTATATTGATATTTTGAATGCTTCAAAATTTAAATACTACTAAGTACGATGTGGCCCCCAAACAATGATTTTTTATGGACTTTTCTTTATGAGGCAGTTGAAGAAGTTGCCCTTGAGGTCTTCCACCTCTTCTCTGGCTCAATCATGCCAAACATCATTCATCCAATGTGACCCGCATCTCTTTGCATTGCCCATTTGATATATATTAACTTTTCGAAGATCATATTTATGATCCACTTTAAGGGTATGAGAAAGACGAAACAATGGTTTTTTTTCATGTCCTTCATAGCAGCTGCCTCATTTTGTGCCCATGAGAGAATGTCCAAAATGCCAAAAAAGGGGAGTTCAGTCGATAACTTCTCTTAGCATTCCATAAAATGAACTTCTGGGTCCTCATACTCGCTTCCTTTTACCCATACTCTGTCGTTAATGATTTTTCTATAATACCCATAATCTGATATGCGAAATTGAAATCTAATCATATAATACCCTAAATATATTTTATATTATGTGCTATGCCATGAGCTTATTTTATTGTTGTGATCAACATTGAATTGTTTTCTCTCTTATAAAAAGTCACTAAATGCAATAATATCATAGGGTTAGATTAATTTTGTATATTTGACTTCATAACTAATTTGCAAATTCTTTTTTTTTTGTAGTACATCATTGTGAATTTGTTACATTAGGTATTTTTGCTAACTTGATCATTCCGAATAATAAAAACAACAAAAAAACAAGTCTTTATCCCACTAAGTGAAGTGTCTACTAGGGGTGTAAACGAGCCGAACACGAGCGAGCCCAGACTCAGCTCTTGTTCTGCT